AGACCGTGTCCAACCAAATTAAAAATAAATTAAAGATAATAAATAAGAAGTAGGCGGACTAAGTGACTGCTGAGGCCTGTAACTACAGAACCGAAAGACCCTACCTGGCTGGCCCAATCTCCCGACTTTCTGGGGTCTAGGTGAACTTTTCATCTTGCATGAAGTCCCAAACCTATTCAAATCTTCTTCCAGCTCTACGGGGCTGAGATGCTGCCCCTGCCAGGCTGAGGCCGGGTCACCCGCTGTTTCTCCCACTCCCTGCTTTGCGCAGGAACCTGTTTCCTGGATCATCCCCCCTCATTCTCGCGCGCTCTCTCTCTGATACTTCCTACTATCGGCCAACCGCCCCATGATTCCTTTGGCAAGCTCCACCCAACGTCTATTTGTTTGTAAGTACGTCTAATATTCTGATGAGTTAGCTTGGGAATTGTTGTCGTTTCACTCCATAGACCTTCGCCCTGAGGGCAGGGCATTCTGCAATTCTGACGATTGACTTGCATGGTACGGATAATCCCCAAGTCTCCCTGGCTTGCAGACTACTCTTGCCTGAGGTCTGAGATAATATTTAATGTAGAGAAGGGACGAAGTGGGCAGGAAAAAAGTAGAAGGAAACCTGGTGATATGGTGAAAGCTCCCGCTCTCCTGGGGTCCCCCCCCTCATCACACCCTAGTTTTCAGAATGGAGTTGGAGTCTTCCCAAAAATCTGGTTCCACTGGGGACTGAATGGATTTCCAAAGTATTTTCCTGCAGGAAGTTATGGATTTCTCAGTGGTTGGTGAAAAAGATGATGCCAAAAGGCTTTGAATACGTAGCAGAATTAGGAAGATTCATATAAAGATCTGTGAATTCCCTATTTGAGTCAGCTTCCTTACAGTTTTTCAATCAGAACATACCCGTGCTTTTGTCAAGCCACCTGTTGGTTATGAGGCGAGACCTTATTCAGCATGTTAATGAGATATGCTCTATTCCTGTCGCTTTCCCCAGTAGGTGCCGCTGCCAACCGGAGATGTAAAAAAAATGAGGCAGAAAATGGCACGGCACCTTTCAGAGAAGATTGCCTCTTGCTCTGTCAGATTTCACTCATGCTTTGTGCAAACATCATCTTTACTTATGGGAACAGCTAAATGTTTATCCAAATGAAAACATTATAAAAGTAGTTCTTTCAGCTACTATGGGCCTAGGGATTTTTGTCACTTGTCATTGTTCGAAAATTCCTCTGTTAGAATGCTGTAATAGGGAACAAAGTGGAATAAAGCCTAGACTGCAGGTTGGGAAAAGGTATCTAGGTGTTATTTCTAATTATATATGCCGCGCGGTGGTGCACGCTGTAATCCCCGTCTTTGGGGTCCGAGGCAGGTGGTCACTGGAAGGTCAGGGTTCGAGACCCGGCCTGGCAACATGGTTGGAACCCATCTTGCTAAAATACAAAATTGCTGGGGCGTCAGTGGGCAGGGCTGCGGTACAGTGAGCAGGAGAATCTCTTGAAACCGGGAGGTGGAGGAGCGTGAGCGAGCATTATGCACTGAACTCCAGCCTGGAGCCACGAGCGAGGCGGCTCAAATACAAAAGAATGAAACAATGTATTATAATTATATACAATTTATTATATGTACATATAATATTATAACAACGTTATTTTTGACAAGTATATATATTTAAATTGTTATTTTTTTCTCAGTAGAACTTAATTTCTCTCCTGTCCTCAGAAACTTAAGCACCCTCAGAGGCCAGAAGAGTAAATACAAATAAAGGAAAAGAGGGAGCCATGTGGTCTATGGCCAGACTGGAGGAGATGCCCAGCCTCACCGCATTCACATATAATAACATAAAAATGTGTATGCTGACTAAATCCACCCATTTCAGGGATGAATTCAGCTGGGTTTTATGTCTGTGACTGGAGCTGTAAACTCATTAAGGGCAAGAAAAGTACTGTGCACACTGCAAATGTGTGAGTACATGCTGTGTTCCTGTTCGTAATTATTCTAGGTGTCAAGAGAGACCACCAAAGAAGGCCAGCTTCTGACTGTCTACGTGTCTTAATCTGATGACCTTCTTCCTCCCGGCAAAAAACAAAAACACCCAGCGGCACCAGGCAGAGAACCAGCAGCCATGGCTCTGCGGAACGTCAGTGGCACCTGAGCAAAGCTTGCTGAACAGGAGCTCCAGTGCTTCCTTTGGTGGCCGCCTTCACCACGCTTTCCTTTTAGCATGTGATAGAGGGAATAATTCAGTGCCTGTCCCCCATTCCTCATCAGTTGAGGGAAAATGAAACCAAACAGAACATCTGACCCAGGAAAGGCAGGTGTTGGACGGGCAAGCTCCCAAGTCCTCCTTAGCAGCGGTGCTCAACCTTGGCTGCCCCTTAGAAACACCTGGGGAGCCTTTCCAACATGCTGTCAGTCCAGGCCACGCACATCAGACTCTCTAGAACCAGGGCCCAGAGCTGCGTGGTTTTCAAAAAGTCCCCAGCTGATTTTTATGTGTGGTCAAGGTTGAGAACCACTGCTGTAATAAAATAAAATGCATATGCATGGCTCATAATTATCACATAAAAGTTAACCTTTCTAACAAAAGGTTAACATATTTATAGGACTGCTGTATAGCAGCCTTGGGAGGAAGGCAGGAAATTGTATAAAGGGAATAGAATGTTGCATTTGCATTTTGATAATGAAACGAAAAGAAGTTTCAACTCAACCCTTGGTAATGATTTATTTCCTATGTTGGGTGCCGGATACATAGATGTTCATTGTATTATTTTTAAATCGTGTTTGAAATATTTCATAATACATTCTTTAACTTGAAAAGATTTATAAATGTTAAATATATACATTCTTATGCTTCATAATACCTGTGCACTTTTAAAAGTGAAATTACTCATAATTCTACCCTGATGCCACTTCTTCATTCTCTTGCTAAATAATCACTGTCAGATGTCAAACTTGGATTTATATATCTCTTAGTTACATTTCATATCATGTGCACATTTAAAAAGAAAAAGGAACATATTGTAAATATTGTTCTATAATCTGTTTTTTTAATTTAACAACATATTCTGAATATCTTTTAAAATAAGTAGTTATTTAAGCAGGAAACTTATGTAATTTATTCTAAAAGTATTGTTGGGCAAAGATAATGAACGACTAAAATTTTAATAACAATTGCCCCATCGCTCTCCTGGAAGAATGTATCAGTTCTCAACCAATAGCATGTTTTCTTGATTATTATCAATCAACTTAATGTTTGCCCATGTGAGAGACAGAAAATGATATGTGGTTTTCATTTACATTTCTCTCATCCATGATGGTGAATAGTGGGAGACAGAGAGAGAGAGAAAGAGAGTGTGTGTGTGTGTAGGTGAGTGTGTCAGTGTGTGTCTGAATTGTCTCTCCCCATCTTTCCATCAGGATTGTATAAAATTTTGCAATTAGGAAAATAATAAATGTTGAGTGTTTTTGTTATTTACAGAAATGGATGTATCCTCCAAATATAATGAACAATTTATATTGCAAAAATCAATGAAGATATCAATTTAATTATTTTTTTCTGGTCTCCAAGGAATCCAAGACAGGGGAAAAGGCAAATAAAGAGTTAAATTTGGTCAAGTCCATTTTTACAAGATTTAGATTGAAAATTAAGAAAAAAGTTCAAGTGGAAAATTTGTTTAATTCTTCTTTCCTATTTTATTATCCGGAAAACTTCAAGATAACACAACTCAGGCATTGGGCCCAAATATGAGAGACAAACAAATGAGTAGTTTGAATAATATTGGAAAGCAAAGAAAGTAAGGGCAAGTCTAACAGAGAGAACCCACCAGGGAACTTGACAATTATTATATGAGCACATAGTAAAAATTCTCTTGGAAATAGAAGCTTCTTTCCAAAATAGACAGTGGAAAAGAAAATTGTTTTTCTCCAAAATTCCCACTTATTTATTTTAACATGTTCCAGAATCAGCCTCACAGATGGCTCCGTGAATGCTTTAGTGCCAGACATGATCTATGGTTGAAATAAGATGCAAAATCTATATAAATCAAGGTTACTGGGTAAACATTTGTTTCTCTGTAAATGTGGCTTTTGTTAAGGGGAACATACTCATATTCAGCCTTGCCAGCTTTCCTATTTACCCCCTCGGGAGACACTCAGACAGAAACATGACTAAAGAAGCCTTTACAACAATGCATTTGGTTGATATTTTCATTACCAGTTAGGTAAGCCAGTTAAGAGGCAACCTGTGAGGCCAGGTCCAGTCACTTTGGGATGTCGTTAGGTTATATGAGTAGGGCATAAGACAGATGCACAAAGCCAGAGGGCTGGGGTGGGCAGGCAGCTCGCTCTGAGGGACGGAGAGGAGGAAGTTTGTCTCCAAGGTGCCAGATCAGTCCAACTCTCTGCACCCTTCAGAGTCTATGGACCAAGTTCTAAGAAGCAAAACCACTGCCAGTGGTTGATACCTGGGATACCCATCTACTCTAGTTATTTCTTGGTCTAGGAAAGCAAGTCTTTTCTCCAGGGCATAAAGACAACTCCTCCAAGGCCAAAGCTGCCACTTTCATCATTTATTTTCCTTACGAAGGCAACTGATGTGGAAAATGATTTTCAAAATTATCTTGTTTGTATCCCCGGGGCACAAAAAAGGGTAAAGTGCAGCTTGGTGGCATGCTGCTATAGAAAATGAAGGAAAGATTGAAGAGGTGGCCTCCTGATGGCATGTGAAAAGCTCCCATTTCCCGTGGGATACTGGACTTCAGTCAGAAACATCAGCATTATCAATCAAGTGACACTGTCTGAAACAGGGAAGAGACTTACAAATCGGCTGGAGTTGTTGTTCCGGACGGTCTTGGCGTTCCCGAAGGCCTCCAGCAGTGGGTTGGACTGTAGGATAATGTCCTTCACGTGCTGTCCCAGCAAACAGACTGGAGATTAGGAAGGTGTGAACACCTACCACACAGTATGCCAAACTTTCTCTAAGGAGCTGGTTTCTGAATGCATTAAGGCGAGGGGCCCCACATCCATGTGTCACTGGCGGGGTTTCTGGAGGATTTATTCTTTCACCATGACAGACCTCAACCTGTTTGTGTATTTGGGTCTTCCAGTTCTCATGGCTTGATACAGGATCCCCAGGAGCCAGGGTGCCACTGTGAATCACGAACTATTCACACAAACGTTCTCAGCTTGGGTTTCCAAATTGATTGCTGCAGCTTCACCTTGCACTTGTGGGAGTGCCAGGTATCACAGCAGGAAAAACAGTGCAGTGGTACATGAAGGGGTGTCTCCTTGCTGTTCTGGCCAGGGTCTTTCTTCTCACTACCCCTTCCCAACTAGTCTACCCACCCATCTCATCCCACCTCCACCTGCTTCACTGCAAGTTATCTTAAGGAAAATTAACCTACCTCTCCCCCGCAAACAAGGTTATGGAAATACAGCCTGGTATTTCTCAAACTTTAATATTCATGAATCACCTGGGGATCTTGTCAAAATGCAGATGTGGACTTAGTAAGTTTGGGGTAGGGCCCAAGAATCTGCACTTGTAGCCAGCTCCCTGGTGTTGCTGGTTTTGCCAGCATTGATACACACTTTGGGCAGCAAGGGTCAACAGTGGATTGTGTGGAACAAGTCCTGGCCTACTAGGGGGGAAGGATTTGTTTTTCAAACATCCCAGTTCTGTGCAAAAGTGTGCAAAACACACCATAGACATGACACAGCTCAAGAGATAGAATTTGATGTTGGAGAAGTCTTTCAACAAGTGAGTCATTCCTTGTACTTCTAATTATTCACATGCTATGGTTAAACATGTTCCAGAAATAACAAGTCTTCTGGCTTGTGCTCTTTAGCTACTGACTAATTCCAAGCCAAGGGCTCTGTATCATTGTCCTCATAGGAAAACAGGAAGAGGAAAATCAACATTAACTGTCTGCAGTCTGGCTACCAGGTCGTAGGGGTGTAGCAAAGAGGAGTAAATTAATGCACTAACTACTGACTGACTATGTAACAGCCAAAGTGTTCTTCTGGCACCCTCCTGAACCTTCAGGAGACAAACTGCCATGAGAAATGAGAACTGGGCTTTCACTGTGACTGGGGAATCATCCTTAGCAATGGCACCGACAGCAATTCTGGGGGTGGTCCTTTCATGGGTCAGTTTCAAAGCCTAGAAACACACTTTCAACTCTCTTTTAAAAACTCATGGATTTATAAAACTCTGCTTTTCTTTGTACAGTCAATTTTGAGTTTGTGGATCTTCATTAACTCTATCTTTTTTTTTCACTGGCCACACATGCCTATACCATTTAACAACACTCAGCTTCTCTCAGGAAGAGAACAAAAGACAGAATCTTCTTCTATCTTTTCCCTTTTTAAATTACAGACTTTAAAAATGAGAATCTTTATATATCCATCCATCCATCCATCCATCCATCCATCCATCTATATGTATTCATCAACAATCAGGGATGTCCAACAGAATTCTGTGGCATGCGGCAGGCATATTAGGGAAAAGAGAAAGAGCAAACCAAGGTAAAAGAGCAGCTCATCGGCCGGGCACAGTGGCTCACGCCTGTAATCCCAGCACTTTGGGAAGCCAAGGCGGGCGGATCATGAGGTCAAGAGATCAAGACCATCCTGGCCAACATAGTGAAACCCCATCTCTACTAAAAATACAAAAATTAGCTGGGCGTAGTGGCACATGCCTGTAGTCCCAGCTACTCAGGAGGCTGAGGCAGGAGAATCGCTTGAACCCAGGAGACAGAGGTTGCAGTGAGCTGAGATTGCACCACTACACTCCAGCCTGGCGACAGAGCAAGACTTTGTCTAAAAAAAAAAAAAAAAAAAAAGAGCAGACCATCTGTAAAACAGCATCCTGGATTCTTGTCTCCATGTCAACCCTCTCAGGATCCAGTGCAATCACAGGAATAGAGAAAAGCAAGTGCAATCACAGGAATAGAGAAAAGCAAGTGCAATCACAGGAATAGAGAAAAGCAAGTACAACCACAGGAATAGAGAAAGGCAAGTACAACCACAGGAATAGAGAAAAGCAAGTGCAATCACAGGAATAGAGAAAAGCAAGTACAATCACAGGAATAGAGAAAGGCAAGTGGACTGAACCACATGAACCCAGGTTCTAGAGCTGCCCTTACTGTCCAATATGGAAGCCATAAACTACCCCAACTGAGATGTAACTATAGAATACACATTGTATTTCAAAGACTTAGTACCAAAAAAATAAAATATCTCATTAATTTTGTTATATTGATTATATAATACAAATTTTTTTACATATTGGGTTAAATAATATTATTTTAAAAAGTAATTTCCTTTTTCTCTTTCTACTTCTTTTAATATGGCTACTAGAAAATTTAGAATTACACATATGGCTTGCTTCATCTTTCCACTGGACAGAGCTGCTCTCCATCTTCCTTTCATTCAGAGAAAGAGGCCACTTTAAGAACCCTTCACTCTGCAACCTTAGTTTGCTCTTTCTCTTTTCCCTGATATGCTCACTACATGCCACAAAATTCTGTTGGACATCACTGATCGCTGATGAACAGATATGGATGGATGGGATGGATGGATGGATGGATGGATGGATGGATGGATGGATGGATGGATGCATAAATATTCTCAGTTTTAAAGTCTGTAAGTAAAGAAGGGAAGAGATAGAGAAGATTCAGTCTTTGGTTCTCTCCCTGAGAGAAGTTGTTGTTAAATGGTATAGGCACGTCTGGCCAGCAAACAAAAGATAGAAAGAGTCGATCCACAAACTCAAAGGAGGACTATTTGGCTCTACCTTAAGCTTTCTGATCTACCAGTACATGATAGAACACTATTTAATTAATAGATAGGGGCCAGACATGGTGGCTTACGCCTGTAATCCCAGCACTTTGGGAGGCCCAGGTGAGTGAATCGCTTGAGCTCAGGGGTTTGAGACCAGCCTGGGCAACGTGGTGAAACCCTGTCCCTACCAAAAATAAAAAAAATTAGCCAGGCATGGTGGTACACACCTGTGGTCCCAGCTACTTGGGAGGTTGAGGTGGAAGGATTGCATGAGCCCAGGAGCAGGAGGCTGCAGTGAGCCGAGATCGCCCCACTGCACTTCAGCCTGGGTGACAGAGTGAGACCCCATCTCAAAAAAAAAAAAAAAAAGAACCACAATAAAGAGAATTTTGTGTGTCTTTTAAAAGTCTACAGCCGACCACAGCAATAACATTACACAGTTCTGATTTTAAAAACTAATCTTTGGAATGAATTCTGTCACCAGTGGTGCACAGTGGTGATGAGCGCCAAGCTTGGGCTGCCCCTTACGGACCTCAGCTCTCCATCACCATCATCCATGGCTCTGGGGAGCAGGCTCTACTCATTCCTGCCAATGCTGATTTTAATTTTCACCTCTTGAGTGCCCTCATTCTCTGGATCTTTTCTCTTTCCTAACATTTCCTTTACACTCTTTAATCTCTCTTTTTTCCTTCTCTTTTTCCTCTTTCTCTGTCTATGTCCTTTAAAATTTTTATAAGTTTCTTGAATTGGTAAGTGGTTCACATAATTCAAACCATGCAAGTTTCTAAAGGGTATACAGGAAGGGTAGGCCCTTCTCCCAATCCCCCAGCTTCCCTCCCTCAAGACAACTGTTGTTGACAGTTTCTTGAGTATACTTCGAGGGATATGTGACACATATCCAAACAAATAGAAATATACACTCTCTTTTGATCCCTCAAATGGCAGCATATATTACACATAATGTACTGAACCTTGCCTTTTGTAATTAATGATATATGTTAGAGACCATTGTCTATCAGTACATGAAGCCTCAGTTTTATTGGTGTATAATATTCTATTATATAATGAACCACAAATTATTTCACCAGTTGCCTAGTGATGAACACTTAAGTTATTTCCAGTCTTTTGCATTACCAAAATTGCCAGAAATAACTTTATACATGTATTATTGTGTATACATTTCAGCATCTCTAAAGAATAAATTCTTTTCAGAACTGCTGCATTGAATGGCAAATATGTGTAAGTTTAATAGATTTTGCTGAAATGTCCTTCATTAAAATGTACTAGTTCATCTCCTACCAGCAATGTATGAAAACAACTGCGTCCCTACTTCCTATCAATCAAGTGTTTAAAACATGGTAAGATTTTGGCCAATCTGATAGGCAAAAAATAGTTTTCGAATGTAGTTTTTATTTGTATTTTTCTTGTTATCATGATGGTGAACATACTTTCATGTTTTGTGAGTAATTTATCTTTCCTTTTCTATGAGTTGTCTTCCATGTCCTTTGTTTATTTTCCTTTTGGGTTGCTGAACTTTTTATTGATTTGTAGGAGTTCATTATATATTAGGCACTTCTACCTTAAAATATGCTATTCCTTAATCCCAGCACTTTGGGAGTCTGAGGCGGGCAGATCATGAGGTCAGGAGTTTGAAACCAGACTGGCCAACATAGTGACACCCCATCTCTACTAAAAATACAAAAATTAGCTGGGCGTGGTGGGGCACGCCTGTAATTTCAGCTACTCAGGAGGCTGAGGCAGGAGAATCGCTTGAACCCGGGAGGCAGAGGTTGTGGTGAGGTGAGATCGTGCCACTGCACCACTCCAGCCTGGGCAACAGAGCGAGACTCTAGTCTCAAAAAAATATATACATACACACACACACATACACACACACACACACACACACGTGCACGCGCGCTATTCCTTTCCATTCCAGATTTCAAGTTTCACAGCTATAGAAGAACCAGTGTCTTTTCTGTGGAAGAAAAATTCTTTTCTAACAGCAAATGGAGCCTCTTACATTTCCCACAGCATAAGGTATCATAATGGGCCACTGCCCACTCACCTGGACTTTGGGGCCTCCTCCAGACACTCTGGAGATGTAGCTCATGATATATTTGGCAGCCACTGTTTTTCCAGCACCACTTTCACCACTAAAGAAAAACAGACAAAGTGCCCACCTGAGAAGTGGATTACAACCAGCTCCCTTCCTTGTCCCCCTCCATCACACAAAACAGACAAAGACAAAACAGGCAGAAAAGAATCCTTTTTTTTTTTTTTTTTTTAAGTGCAATACCAGTAGAGAAAGGCAAGTTACAGCAGGATTAAGTCACCCATGTGAGTCGGATTAACATGGTGTGGATAATTACCACTGTGCACACCACTGACCATTAAGTATTTTACATGCCCAATAATGGGGGATATGATCAGGAAAATTATGGAGTATCACAAGGGTGGAATTCTGCATAAATTACAACTGACATGAAGACTGTAAACACAGGAAACAAGCATATGAAATCACAGTAAGTGAAATAAGTCATTCAAGTTATATATAAAACATGATTACAATTTTTTTTCTAAAGTACCTAAGAAAAAAAGACTGGAACTACCACAAAAGGTTAACAAAGGCTTTGGTCAAGGCAAAGACTATGAGAAACTTGTTTTAATTCATTAGTTTTCAAACATTTTGTAATGCATATGCTATTTTTGTAATTTAAAAAAAGAAAAGAAAAAGTGGGCACTCTGAGGTTTCAAACCATGTGCCTTGAACTGATGCAAGCTTCCTTATTTTGGAAGTTCTAAAATTAAACCTTGAAGCAATATTACACATCCTGAGTAACAAAGGCCACCTTCCGCTGGGTAGCCTTCCTGCACGGGGAGAGCCTTTGTTAATAATATACAGTCTGCTCTTCAAAATTCCCATTCTTCCTTCAAAATCCCCCTGAATTGATAATGACCTCAATTCAAAACATGCTTGAGTCAGTCAGATTTTTCATCTTTCTGTTGGTACCCTTTGTGTTACCAGGATAGAGTTAAAGCACCCCATGTCATATAAAATGATGACGGGAGTTAGTATGAAAAATTCAGGCTGTTACAAGTTCATAGGACAATATTTTTGTTTGCTCTTTGCAATAAAAAATTTTAGGGTGCAGGGCAAATGTTCTATGAATAGCCAGCCCAAATCAATTGTTATCAATTGCTGAATTACCCAATAAAAGAGAAAACATTTGCTTAGGGAAAAACCAAGCAAGGCGACCCTCCCATTCCCAAAAGGAAACTGAAATTTGAAATAATTTTACATTTCAAAACAAAACAAAACAAACGAACAAAGAATTGAGCTGGCCATATAGCAAAACTCAGAACTTCGCTGAATTTCCTTGAACTAATAATATGGTTTTAAAGAAATTATGGGGAGGTGGGAACCATCCTCTGTTCAGAGCTCATGACCTTCAAAAGTCTGAACCCATCTATGCAATTCACTCACCATCCTAGTGCTATGCTCCCGGCTTCATGGTCACATGAATAAGAAAACCAAACTGAAATTTCATAAGCTACAGTAGCAAGTAGAAAACCAGTAAGCCTGGGACAAGCTGTCACACTGCTTCCAGAGGACATGCTTACTCACAGTCAGTAAGTAGGTCTGGCAAATTCAACTCCATGGGGAAATTATATTTCAAATGGTTGACATACTCAGATGATGTATTTACTAGATCCAGGGTCAATACATGCACTCTCTCATTTGAATTACACATTTTGGCAACAATGAAACTCCATTTTATAAGTTGTAAACAATGTAAACATTCAAGAATATTGGAAAGTTCAAGATTACAATGGTACAACCACCCAATATAATACTGCAGTCATTTGAAATACTTACGAAGACTATGTAGCAACATAAAGATAATGCAGCTAAAGTTAAGTGGTAATGTGAAATACCGATAAACTATATTTATAACAAGTTTACAACTATGTGAAAATAACGTATGGACAAAAACAAATCCACAAGGAAAAAGAAATATTCCTGACTTGTTATGAGACTGAGAAAGGAATGGTTTTTTGTGTTTTTTTGAAATGGAGTCTCACTTTGTCGCCCAGGCTGGAGTGCAGTGCACAATCTCGGCTCACTGAGACCTCCACCTCCCAGGTTCAAATGATTCTCTTGCCCCGGCCTCCCAAGTATCTGGAATTATAGGTGTGCACCCCACACCTAGCTAATTTTTTAATTTTTAGTAGAGACAGGGTTTCACCATGTTAGCCAGGCTGGTCCCAAACTCCTGACCCCAGGTGATCCGCCTGCCTTGGCCTCCCAAAGTGCTGGGATTACAGGCGTGAGCCGCAGCGCCTGGCTCTTTTTTCTTTGGATGTGCTTTCTCATAATGCTTAATTTTTTTTTTAAGATTTTTAGGCTGGGTGCAGTGTCTCATGCCTGTAATCCCAGCACTTTGGGAGGCCAAGGTGGACAGATCACTTGAGGTCAGGAGTTCGAGACCAGCCTGGCCAACATGGTGAATCCCCGTCTCTACTAAAAATACAAAAATTAGCTGGGTGTGGTGGCAGGTGCCTGTAAGCCCAGCTACTCAGGAGGCTAAGGCAGGAGAATTTCTTGAACCCAGGAGGCAGAGGTTGCAGTGAGCCAAGATTGTGCCATTGCACTCCATCCTGGGCAACAAGAGTGAAACTCTGTCTCACCAAAAAAAAAAAAAAAAAAATTGTTTTCAAAGATTTTTTGAGATTTGTGTCTTTCAGAGTTTTTAAAACAGCTTCTCCAGAGAAAAAGGGAGGGATCACACCTCACAATGATAATCACCACTGATCAATTTCATTATATTATTATACAACTTCCTATATATCACCATGAGTATGTATATTTTCCTTAAGTTTACACTGTCACATTTAAGCTTCGTTAGAACAAGCTGGAAAAGAGAGAGAGGGTGAGCACGAGCAAACCCTATTAGAATCAGTATATAAAATAATATATATAAAGTGGAATTTATTAAATTTAAAAAAGAATTATAAAATAAAAGTAAAGTAATCCTAATAATCCCCCCACTGTGTCTTTGGTTAATACTGTATTCAGACATGAAATATTTTGTCTCTTTTGTTGGAAACAAAAGAAAGTAAAAATAATGGAAAGTAGCTCTTTTCATACATTAAAATAAGTATACCATTTCCAAAAATAGGGTATCTGCATTCTCAGTAACTGTGATCTTTTCCAGAAGACTTAAAATAATTAGTTCTCACTAAACATTGATCGGAATTTTCATTACTTGGTTTCAATTTACAGACACTTAAGAAGAATTTTTATTGATCGGAAGCTGCTGATTTGGTCAAAATATGGTACAATAATGGAATGTTACAGAATGACTTGAAACTTACAGTATATACAACCATAATTATACTGGCCTATTTGGGAAGAGAAAATACTGCTTCTTCTTGGGGACTAAAACCCAAGTTAAAAGAAAGTGAAGGTATCAGACAAAATAATACATCCCAAATTATTTACTTTACATCTCACAGCAGTTGTTGTAGGGCAACTTGCTTTGTTTATGCTTCCAGGCAGCTCTTCCTAATTTAATTGACTTTTAAAATGGACATGCACACACACACAAATACTCTGGAAATTAGGAAAATATGCCAGTAGTTCCCACATCTGGCAGTCTATCAGAATCGTCAGAGTACTTTTTAATTGCCCATGTCTGGGCCCGTCTTCTGACCTGCTGGATCCCAGTCTCCAGGGACAGGGTCTAGGAATAGGAATTTCTAACAAACTCCCTAGTTCTTGTATAGCCAGCTGGGATTAAGCCAAGCAATTTTAGATCAAAGTCATAACAGACTTTATAGGAAATATTAATTCAAATAGGAAGTATTGTAGAGTGTGTGTCTGTGTGTGTCTGTGGGTCTGTGTACTAACTATAGAAATGGAAACATATGGTAAAATATCAACGAAATGGAAAGAATGTTCTGCGGAAAAAAAGCCATTTACAATGGTATAATCCAAGGACCATAATTATTTTTCTGAGAAAGGTTATTCCTCACTTAAAAGTCAATAATATTTCCTATTCACTTCAACTTATTCAGCAAATGTAAAAATATTTCAGTTCCTTTTTCTTTTTTTCTTTTTATTTATTTATTTTTTTTGAGATGGAGTCTTGCTCTGTCACTCAGGCTGGAGTGCAGTGGCACGATCTCAGCTCATTGCAAGCTCCACCTCCCAGGTTCACGCCATTCTCCTGCCTCAGCCTCCCGAGTAGCTGGGACTACAGGCACCCACTACCATGTCCGGCTAACTTTTTGTATTTTTAGTAGAGACAGGGTTTAACCTTCTTAGCCAGGATGGTCTCGATCTCCTGACTTCGTGATCAGCCCGCCTCAGCCTCCCAAAGTGCTGGGATTACAGGCGTGAGCCACCGCACCCGGTTGTTCTTTTTTATTTTTATTTTTTGAGATATTCCATAAAATAAGTAGGATCAGCTGTTATCACTGTTGGAAGATTCACCAATGCACTCCCATCCCCCATTTCTGATCTCAAAATCTCTCTCCTGGTTGTTTCTATACCACAGGAACTGGTGTTCCCTTGTAACTGGCTGAATCAATGTAATTGAAATGTCACTTTTCCAACTTTTTGTTTGTGGTTTAAAAAGGATAGACACTTAAAACAAAAATGATGCCTACTTTTGTTCGCCCAACAAGCATTGTCTAACAACCCCCCTGCCCCAGTGTGTTAAGCCGAAGGCTAGAATGAGATGTGGCTCCTGTCAGAGAAGAAGTCACTCACTGTCTCACAGGGCAGTCAAGTATACAAAGGCTATTAATAACACAGTGGAGATGGGGGTATGGTTTCAGGGATTTGTGGGTGGCAGCTATCCCTGATGAGAAGATTCCTAAACAAAGTCACAACTAGTTACATCTCAACAAAGACAATCAAATTAGCCAGGTGGGCTGTGTGTGTGTATGTGCACTTGTGTTGTACACGTTAGGGGTTGGGATGAAGCCTGAGCCATACATAAGAGGCAAAAATTCTGTGGGGTACATGTGAAGGGAATCATGGGTAAACAGGACTTGAGGAGACAGCGGCTCACACCTATAATCTCAATAATTTGGGGGGCCAAGGGAGTTGGAGAACCAGCCTTAGCAAACAGCAAGATCTCGTTTC